AGGATTTTAATGCAGTGCTTTCCTTTAGTACCTAATGTGGTGGCATTTTTGCTGGTGGAAAATACATCAGCATCACCCCTTTTTGCCATTTTCCTTATCCTGTCCTCATCTAATGCAAAAACATCTTCAACTGTACTATTTTTGCACTAAGTTCTGTAAAATTCATCAGCCGCTAGACAGAAGCTTTACTGGTAGTGCTGGGAAGCACTGGTCACCAGTGAGAGCCTGCTGGTGCTGGACACAACCTGTTTTGTTTCAAGCTGCCCAAGAAAGAGATCTGGAGTGGAGCCCACTGCAATGACACACAGACCAGACGCTTGGTTGTGCTTCTCTAGCAGGTAGGCAGAGATGATTTCCTGATGGGTCCATGTAGAGTTTAATGACCTGAGAGGAGAAGGTTCAATGACTAGATGTACACTGTGGGACTCCATCTCCAAGCCTGGAAACATGTCGGCGAACATGGGTCCTGCTGGCTGGCAAGAGACAAAACCTTGTTGTCTTGCTGTACCATGTTGCTCCCAGGTGCAAGAAGGGTCCAGCACCTGGTCTGAGGGAATGTTTTTTAAGCTGGAGTGGAGTATGCTGGTTGTGAGATGTGGGGCACTGACTTTCAGGCACCCAAGCACTACCCCGGACTGGGGAGCAATTGCTGAAGACAGGGTGGTCCTATGCAGCTGGTGGGATGCAAGAGTCTTGGTTCTCCTGCTCTGGATTCCAGCAGTGCCTGGCCATGGGCATGCTGGATTTCTCTGCCCAACAGCAGCTCAGGGCACTGCTGCTTATGTGCAAGGGAGGGCAGCAGCAGGCTGCTGAGGGAGCACTGAAGGAAAGGACCTCAGCTCATCCACTCATCAGCTTGCTCAACCATCTCTGTCATCTCCAGCAGGCAGATTTTTGTTCAACTCTTCGCTGAAACCTCCCAGCAAGACTGCACACCCTCCTCAGACAACCCGCTGCAGTCCTCTGTCATCTTTACCATTTTAAGGTCTTGTCTCTTAGTGTCACAGCTACACCTTTCTTTCTGTTCTTTAAGTGCATGCTTTGTTGTCGTACTCACCTCCATATTAAGAATAGCCACTTTCCTTGGCACCTTATTTACCTAGCTGCTTTTCTCTAGAAAGAATCAGCTTCATTCATGTCAGTCTTTCCTCGCTAGCTGTGTTATCTGGACCCTCCAACTCTTCTCCAAATTCTTTGGTGGGTCCTCTAGAGCAGATTGGCTCAGTCTTGATGTGCAAAGCCTGACATAAGTCAGTATTTGAGCTGATGTCTTAACCTTCCAAGACCTAAGTGGAATTGTGGTTCATGCTCCAGTTTGTATACATTACTGTATATATAGAAATACCTTATTTCTTTTGAGGCAGCTATGCTGCCTCACATTCAGCTTGGGAGCTGCTCTGCAACACTGCTCCCCTGTCAGTCAGATCCTGGCCTCCCTTGCAAAGCTGCTAGAGGAAGTTCCTTCATCCAGATCCCACTTGCTTCCCAATGTTGGTGTTTCATCTTATTCTCTTCCCATGGTCCCAAATACCCTGCTTTCTCTGTACTTTTACTCACTGTCTTGCAACCACAAGCAACAGACATCTATCAGAACAAAAGCCAGATTAGATATTTGCAGGCCTGGGTGGCTGCAGTACTCGGAGGGAAAGCCAGAGACGTTTCCACCACAAACGTATCATTTGGTGCTTGCAACCGTCACTGACAGTGACAGGCAGAAGCCGCAATCTACAGCCAGGCCAAAGCACTTGTGTAAGTCACCTTGTCTGAACTTTCCACTATTAGCTTCACATGACAAGGTGGCTTCTGTGGGTTTCACCAAAGCACTTGTGTAAGTCACCTTGTCTGAACTTTCCACTATTAGCTTCACATGACAAGGTAGGCTTTTGCTCACCAGCACATAAATGGTTTTGAAAAATTACATGGAAGAGTCCAAGGTGAAATATTGTTGGCTGAAGCCACTGAACATCAGAGAGAAAACTCAGGACTCCAGGCTGGCCTAGGTCCTGCCACAGTGGCCAGGCACCTTATCTTCAGAGGAGGGATTAGGAAAAACTCTTGACTTGCTCCACACCTGGCCACCATTTGACATTGCACACGGGCACTGTAAGGGCATCTGCATCTCTTATGCACGGGGCTATGCCACTGCTCCTGAACTGGTGTATCAGTCTTCCTACAGCAGCCTTGCTAGCCCAGCAATACTAGTATCGATAGACTTTCTTGTCTTGAGCATTTCAGTGTGCATCGTCTTTCCACTACCAATGTCACTTCTCACATTGGCTAGGCTGCTACATAATGCTTCCTCACATAAAGCCATTGCATAGTGCCTGGACAAGGAGTAAATCGCACTTTTTCTTTCCTTGCAGGTTCCTTTGAAAGTGAGGATGAGAATGGTGGAATGAGGGCAGTCAGAGACTCAGAGAAGATCTCTGTAGGGAACGTTTCCAGAGCATGCTACCCCAGTAGCCATTAGAATAATGCTCTTATGGCCTTCCTGTCTAAGAGCAACTGTCTTGTTTCTTTCGTGGCACACCACACGGCACCCATAAAACACCTCACAAACAGACTGACGGCTCAGAGGGACCTCTCGTTAGATGCTATTGCAGTTCACAGTTTTCTCCTTGGCCTCTAGGACATTTTTGAAAACAAAGCTGCTTCATTTTTGGGGGAGTGAAGCAGAAAAATACCTGCTCTTGATGTTATTCAGTAAACGAGAGGCATGGAGGATCTGAAAGCTCTCCAGAGCATGGACCAGTCCTTACTGCACTAGTGTACAGTGAACAGAATGGTGAGGCCACAATTTCACTGGGTCATTTTTAACTGAAAAAACCACCAAAACTTACTGAATATTATCTTGAAAAACAGTGGAGAAAATAGTTCTGGGAGGCCAGATTCCCTATAATCTGCCTAATCATACGTTAGGGGTGTTATGCATTCCCTATTATTGTACTTACATTCTTTGTAGTTATACCTGGAGGTAGAACAGCAGTCACACTATCACCATTTATGAGGGCAGAGATCTTCCATCTCTGCACGCTGTCCATGTACCGTAGGTACAGGCCTTTTACACAGCCCCAGACAGTGCTAACTCCTGATGTCTGAGCCATCCATGTCTTGCAGAAGGAGAATCTGGTCCCTTTGGGAATCCCCCTCATCGTAACACTTCTGTCCAAGAGGGTGTTAGGGTACACAAGAGCAAGAACAGAGTCTCCTGAGCTCTTGCTGGCTCTTTAAAGAAGGGTGCAGCTCCTGGAGAAAGCTGGCCACATGACCAAACCAAGGCATTGACAAACAAAAAGGGATGTAAAACACAGCACATGGGAAAAGATGAGTTTCAATGTTAGCGGCAAGTCTTTTCAGAAGTGGAATCAATTAATTATTGTTTTTATTAAGCCTAAAAGTGATTTAGTTTTTCAATATCACCAGGAACTTTTCAATCAAATAATCAATGAGGTGAAGTAAAAATAAATTTCAGTTGCCAACAAGGATATATTTAAGCAAAACTGGGCATTAGATTCCGAAGTATTATGTAGGCATAGCTCTACTCCGAACACCTCTGAGATGAGGTGATACAGTCACTAAAATACCAGTGTTCTCACTGGCAACTTTACCAAACAAAAAGCTGATGAATTTAGGGAGTACCAGCATGGAATACTACTGACAGAATGACAATCTTGATTTTTTTGTAGTGTACCCATTTCCCCTCCTCAGATATCCCTGCATTAATACAGGTTACAAATACTTCCTAATTTTAAAACACCAACATTATCAAAGGCCCATTTCTTAGTAAGAATTAAGAGAGGACATGCACCTTTATGAAATTGTGCTGTTAGTTACTATTAACTGCTTAGCAAAAGGAATGGTATAGTATAGATTACGTCATGAATCAGTAGACTATAGATTCAGTTTCAAAACTAGTAAATCTCTTGCCAGAGGTGATGTAGTTTCAGCTCAGGAAGAGGAGCAGACACTGTTTTCAATTATGCCTGGTAATGCAAGAAAACATAGAAAAAACTTACATTTTTTTATATCCCTTGTGTAAATTTTTATTTGGGTTGTTCCTTTGATGAAGCATTTATTCTTACAAAGCTTTTAACAACACACTTGTTTAATTCCAGTGTACAAAAATAACTGTCTTTAAAAAAATTACTAAATTGTAGCACAGTACGTCTGGAATCAAGTACATTTTTCATACTCTGCTATCTTTTCTCCAGAAACAGCTTCCACATGAAGGGTAACAAGGACATAGTTAATTCAAGGTGTAAACTCTATTCCATTTCTCAGATGCTTTCTCCTGCTGTGCCGACTAGTCAGCTAAGACAGGGAATAGGCTTGCACAGAGCTCACCTGTGCTCAGCACCGAAAGCCATGGCACCAAGGGTGATGGGTCCATGACACCACATTGGAGCACAAGGTGGGAAACTGTCATGTCCCAAAGTGCAAGGCAGTGACTTCGCAGCACCTTCCAGGAGGGGCAGAAGTGAAAAGTGCCCAGCTGCACTCTGGAGAGGATTGAAGTGGCCACAGGGAACATGCTTTACCTCCCTGTCTCTGGTCTCTATCCCCACTCCTCCTAATGTGAGAGTGTCCCCAGCATCAGCTCCAAAGGCATTGCCCTCCCTAGCAGCAGATCCTGCTCTGTCAGGCAGAGCAACATCTCACCAGTGAAGAAACAAAACCTATGAAACCCAGCATGGCCCCTTTGTCCCCCCCACCCCCTCCCAAGCAAAGAAAATAAAACTTACAGCCTATTATGGGACTGCTGAAAAGTACAGCCACTCCAGGCACAAGACCTATGTTCTGCCTGTCCAGTGCACTGTTCGCACAGACAGAGCACTCCCTTTCAGGAACAGAGATGGACGTTGGATGTGTGACTCGTGCCTGGCCATGCCTGCCCTGGTTCAGGGACAGACTCAAATTCAGTGTGCTAAAAGAGGGACAAAAATAAACAGAAGGCAGAGCCGGAGCCAGTAAATTCCAGTGCTACCTTATCTACTTCCTCATCACCAGGATTTCTGTTTGGACTTCTTCTTCCTCTGTTTTATGAGGAATAAATTCTCATTGATATCAGGACTGGCATCTTTCTGTTTTTTCCATTTCTTCTTCCTTTTAGCACCTTCCAGAGGCTGCTGCACATATGCAGTCTTGGTGCCTGAGAATGCCTGGAAAATGGGCTTGTGACAGATTTTGCTGCCCTTACATGCCTGCCTTTTACACCCTCTAGGGAAGTCCCCCTCCAAATGGCTGGTTTCAACATCACTTCTGTGTTTCTCTTCTCTGTGTTTTTCTGCCCAGGACATCTTCATCTTTTTGTGATACTCGCCATCTTTGTTATGTTTCCCATGTTCTTTCCAAGGCTTGCTCTTTTTCTTATGGCTGTGCCCTCCATGTTTTTCTTCCTGCCATGGTGTCTCTGACTGTTCTGGCAGAAAGCTGACTTCCTGTAGTTCTGTAAAACAGAGCAGTTTATTTCAATACCCATGCAGAAAACCTAAAACCTAGTGCCCAAGCCATCTTTCCTTACGTATGTATGAAGTTAATTAGAAAAAAAATATCTCTGATACATTTTCCATAGTGGGTTTTTTTTTCTGTCAACAGACTAGAATCTTAACAAATTACAATTTAATCCTCTTCTTGCTAGTTTATAGCATTTTTTATGTCAGTGGATTTTTTCGAATTAAAACATCTGACAACATCCACCTAGTGGTTTTGACATAATAAATTTCCATGATAGACATGGATGAATAAAGTTACAAATCTTTTACTACCGTTAGACTACCTGTTCAAATCCCTATAGCTTTTCCCAACAGAGGAAAATAATCCCACAATATTTCTAAAAGCAGCAAGCACAGAAGAAAGTATTTCAAAGAATTGAAAGGCAGGAGGGATCTCCCAAAATATACTGTACCTGTAACCTTTCTTTTTAATCTGTTCTCTCTTCTCTTGATTTCATATTCATCATCGTAATAGTAGATGAATGGAGAAGTAGGGAGCATGCTGCCATGCATCCGCTTTTCTGAGCACTCCTGCAAAACACATTTCAAGTCAACAGATGTTGGCTGAGTTGCGATTTTCCTGGAAGGGAAATAGGTTGGATTCTGCAGGTGCTGGTCTGTACCCGTGGAGGATGTGGATAGCAATTCTTTACACTGATAATTTTATTAGCATCCAATAATCCTTCCTGCACGCACAGAAAAACACACATTACGTGAGCCAAGCTGCAGTCCTCTCGTGGCAAGTGGAAGGAATCCTGTCTCTTCCCACAATTACTACACATCTGTAGTACTGATAGAAGCAGAGGACTAGAAGGAGGTGAGCACTAGGTAAATACAAGGTGAACTGCAAATGGAGCTGCTGGATCTAGGGAACAAGGCTGTCCCGCCTGCAGCTGGGCCAGGTCCCCCTGCCACCTGCTTTCGCTGCTCCTCGCTGCCTCTCCAGTCTCCCAGCACAACCACATGCCCGGTCTCCTCAAAGGACAAATACTTCTAATGGCAGGAAAGCTTTTTTAACCTGGGTCATTTGTGGTGAAAGTATGAGCAGAAATGTGGCAGACTCAAAGGGTGGGGTAGGCTGAGGGAAGCGATGGGGATGCCAGCCAGGGGTAGCATCCTCCCCTCACAGCCCATCTGCAGTGAGAACAGTGTCTGACTGTATGCAGTTTTTTGACAGATGCAAAACTAAAGCAAATCCTGCAGCAGACTCTGCTGTGCAAGCACATCAGATCTGCAGGGAAGAGGAAGAGAGCCCTGAACAGTTGGCTGTGGTGAGGAAGGGGCTGGCTCTTCCATCATGTGTATATCTATTCCCAAACACTTGATTCATGAATGTGAATTTTTTCACTGCTGTACACAAAGTTTTATCAATGTCTTGTAAGCCAGGCTAACTGGGGTGCTTCCTATGATTCTGTCTTTTTTGCAGAGTATGATGTGGAATTAATTGATGCTTTCTTCTCCTTGTAAATTCTTTGTTAACTGTTGTGTTTTGCAATATAATCTTTCTGCTTCTTGGACACTGCTCAAATCTAATGAACTCTGGGCCTTGTCATTCTCAAGAAACTGTCAGGAGCTTTCACTCACCCTGATGTCTCCACCACAAGCTAAGCAGCTTTCTTTCCTGTGTTTGCTATTTCTATCACTCAGTGCCACCTCTTGCACCCCCTTTCCATGTGTGTCCTCCTGCTTCCTACCCTCCCTTTTTTAAAGGCAAAGTACATCAAAGATGCAATGCAGATGTATTTCATATTTCTCAGCTTGTATTTGGTCTTTGCTTGGCTGAAATTAAATGAAGAATTCCTTTATTCTCTGTGGTGTCCTCCAAAAGGGTACTGTCAGGTTGTGCGACAACTGGCTTGTCTCCACATGCATGCAGGAGCGCAGATGAGCAACTGCAGCTGGTAGCTGGACCCTACGCAAGTCTGAGGGTTCAGTCTTCCCCCACTGCGAAATCAGACTGAAAGGGACCTGGGAGGGGGCATGCAAGTCCATCCACTGCCTGAGGCCACTCTCAGTAGCTATTCTTCTGAGATATGCATATCTGGGAAGACAGATGGATTTCACACTGAACAACTTGAACAGCCAGCTATGGCCCCACAAAGAAACCTCCTCTCTCACCTTTCTCGGGTCTTCCATCTACCTCCCTCAGATTTAAGAGAGAAAAGCATAACAGAAATGACACTTCAAATACATGTGTTTCACATGAGTGAAACCTAAGAGTGGCCTTTAGGCAGGGCACTAAACTGCCTGCCTATCTGGAAGAAATGAAAGAAACTATCCCTAAACATTGCCAAAGAGGTTACTGAAAACAACATAGATTGGCTTTACAGAGGAATATGCAAAGACACATTCAACTTTCTGTGATACCTGTGAAATGTACTGCTTGAGATCCTGCATCAAATCTAAGGCTTGCTCTGCAGGCACATGTTTCATTGTTTTTCTTTTGTTAATATTTTGACAGAGAAGCCTTAGTGAATGAAATGCACATGCCACCCATATCGGCACTCCTCTTTTCCTCTTCATCTCCACTGCATTATAAATCACCTCAGCAATGTCCAACATGCACTTGGCTGTATCTTGCCCTCTCAAGTAAGCTGCCACTGCTGCCATACACTGTGTACTGTTAAATACTCTTGGGACAGTCTTCAGCACTGGAGGTATCGTACAGAGGATGGAAAGCAGAGCCTGCTGCCTGCTACCAACCTGCAGGAGGAATTTACTGTGTGATTGGCACACTGGACTGTGAATGCAAGGCACACCTGCAGATACCGTATGATTCCTTATTCCTGC